TGTGAACTCTTGGGCGGAGGACAATTTCTGTTCCCACATAGGCAGTAGAGTTACAGAAACCTAGAGGCCAATTCAGATATAATCATAGAGATACATAGATGAGTGTCTGCTTAGATGATGTAAGACCACGGGATAGTGAATTTATTTCTGTAACCAGTCTGGGGCCCCAATCTCTTTCCATTTGTTCTGCTGGGGAAGGGACCAGGCTCCTTGCATCCTGTTCTTTGTCCCTTAATGAAGATGAGAACATGTACCAGTGGGTATCTAATGAAGTTTGAAAGAGAATCCTCAGAGTAAACGAAATCTTGACACAGAGGTAAACATGGTGCAATGACTTTGTAAACATTAGAATAAGATCACATTGAGAACGACTATGCTAAGTGACCAAATCTGATAATCACTCATGTCTTTGAAACATGATTCAGGGGACTTCTGGTATTACTGTGAAGAAATACAGCATGATGACTAGCATCCTTCACTCTTTCAACACATATGTGTTAAAAATATCTATTACAAGTGAAGCACCATTGAGAGATGGAAGGTACACAAAAGCATTATCCATCCCTTGTCCCAGTGCATAAGGCATGTAAATTTCTCCTCAGAATCTACTTCTAGGAGTTCCTTAATGAAAATAGAAGATCCTAATTTTTATTCTATTCCACCTATGGAAGCGTTTCCTTTCAACTTCCTTTAATCCCTGTGATGCATTTCAAATAAGAGAGCTTTCAAATCCATACTTCGTGAAGTAATTCATCTTCCAGGCACCTTGGTTTCTTCATCTGCAAAATGGAGATTATAATCTCACAGAGTTGTTACAGCGAAGGGCCCCATCGCTAAAATTAAGTGGTCATGTACACACAGTGCCTGAAGCACAATCAGCACTCAACAAATTGTATCTGTGTTAGAATTATTATTCTGTTAACACCATTTAATTCTTCCCACATAAGCTGGAAAACATTTTTTATCCCTCCCCCAATCCACATAACATCAATGATCAAGTTCTTTTGGCCCTTCCTTGAAAACATTCCTCATAATCGCCTCTCCTTTCCCTTGCTTCTGACACTTTCCTAATTCCTCTTCCTTGTTGTATCTCCTCTTCTCCAAAAATTTGATGTTGGGCAATGGTAGGCTGTTAGTACTTAAGTTTTGGGGGAGTCAAAAGCTATATGCAGATTTTTGACTGCATGGGGAGCAAGAGCCCCTAACCCAGCCAACTGTTAAGGATCAACTGTATATTCAACATACTTTATTAATTTAATCACCCCAAGTGTCTAATCCCAATACCTATGCTTCTACTGATCACTCAAAGCTTTCTTCTAATCACCGTAATTGGGCTGCCCTGTTTCTCATCCCTCACAGGCATCTAGGACATGGTATCTCATCTATAGCATTAAATATATATTGAAATATATTTTGGCGACACTATAGAGTAATAATTAAAAGCATAGGTATTGAGATGAGACAGTTGTGGTGTGATTAAATCAGTAAAGTATGTTGAGTATACAGTTGACCCTTGAACACATGAGGATTAGGGGTGCCAATGCCCTGTGCAGTTGAAAATCCACATATAACTTTTGGCTTCCCCAAAACTTAACTACTAATAGCCTACTGTTGACCAGAAGCCTTACCAATAACATAAGAGTTGATTAACACATATTTTGTATATGTATTATTATATGTGTCATATATATAGTCTTATAATAAAGTAAGCTGGAGAAATGAAAATGTAATTAAGAAAATCATAAGTAAGGGGCATCTGGGTGGCTCATTGGTTAAATGTCCAACTCCTGATTTTGGCTCAGGTCATGATCTCAGGGTGGTGGGATCAAGCTGGCTTCATGCTCAGTGGGGAGTCTGCTGGAGATTCTTTCTTTCCCTCTCCCTCTGCCCCTATCCCCCCACTGTGCTCTCTCTCTTTCTAAAATAAGTAAATAAATAAATCTTTAAAAAAAAGAAAATCATAAGAGAAAATACATTTACAGTACTGTACTGTATTTCTTTACTATACCGTATTTTTTAAGAAAATCCACATATAAATGGACCTGCTGCTCAGTTCAAACCCATGTTGTTCAAGGGTCAACTGTAACACCTAATCATGCTAAAGCACTTAATGTATTTTTTGTTAAAGATTTTATTTTTAAGTAATCTCTACACCCAATGTGGGGCTCAAACTCATGACCCCAAGATCAGCAATTGTACCCTCTACCGACTGAGCCAGTCAGGCACCCCAAACACAATAAATACTATCATTAATATTATTATTGTGGACATTTCTCATTTTCCTAATTTTTTTATTTAAAAAACTTTATTGAAATACAATTCACATTACCATAAAATTCACACTTATAAAGTATACAATTCTTTGTACAAAGAAATTTCGGGTTTTTAGTATATACACAAAATGGAGCTACCATAACCCCTATGTAAATTTAGAACATTTTCATCACCCCAAAAAGAATGTTCCTAGATGGCAATGACCTTCTGGTATCGATGGTACCTTTTTCAATACGTTGCCTGGTGAACTTTTATTAGATTTTCTGTTAAAATCACTTGCTCACATACTGATTTCATCTAGGATCTGGGTTGACTTCTTTTCAGGCTTGAAGATGGGATCATTTCATCATTGTAAGGGATACTCACTGTGATTGACATACAATTTGAGGATATCATTTTGTGCTCAACTTTTTATTAGTGTTGATTTAAAAAGCCAGTTTACAAGTCAGGGTATGTATATGAATAAAACAATTGTTATTAAGTAATGGCATCATAATTACCATTAATACGCCTTACTGCATGCCCTCATGCCAATAAGTTATTAAGAACTGCTTTGAAATCCTTTCATAAGTGCTCCTTATGTTGCCAAACTTTTTTTTTTTTTTTAAGATTTTATTATTTATTTGACAGAGAGAGACACAGTGAGAGAGGAAACACAAGCAGGGGGAGTGGGAGAGGGAGAAGCAGGCATCCTACTGAGCAGAGAGCCCGATGCGGGGCTCCATCCCAGGACCCCGGGGTCATGACCTGAGCCAAAGGCAGACGCTTAACCACTGAGCCACCCAGGTGCCCCATGCCAAACTTGTGTTTGATAATGATTGGGAAGGAGGTTGGTGTGATTAAAAGAATAACATTTTATTTGAGGATCTCAAAGCACCTGGCAAGCTTGCCTTCCATTTTGCAGATTGGATACACTGAGGTTTGCAGTGGTTCATCACATTTCTTTTGGCTATACTGCCATCTGGGAATAGGGCTGGCTACACATTAGAACAGTTTAGGTTTCAACATATTCTGGGCTTTTCCTTAGTAATTCGTCTGCCCTTTTATCTTTTGCCCATTGTGACTGCGTAGCCAGTCAGATCTCTCATTTCACCTTGCCTGATGAAAAGATGGGAGGCAGATCTGTGATCTATCTGGAGGTATAGTATTGGACTTCAGCTGGGAGTTTCTTACTTGTTTTTTCCCGATTCTATTTAAATCTTTTTTCATTCTTTCCTACCCATTGTCAATTTGAGTCACCTTGTTCGAATATGTATCTTTTAAAGCACTTTAAGTCTCTTTACAAACAACGTGGGCAATGCACACATAGCTAATTTCTACGTGATTCACACATTTCCGGTAGACCCAGGCAGGTTGCATAGTTGAAACACCAGGTTTTTGTAGAGAGCCACACTTAGGTTTGAATTTCAGCTTCGACACTTAAAAACTGTGGGAACTTGGACAAGTTATTTAACCTTTCTGAGTTCCCTCTCTGTAAAGTGAAAATCATAATCCATAGCTCACAGAGATGTCTTGGGGTTTAAAATAAAATGTCATGTAAATTACTTGGTGCATAGTAGGCATTCAATAAACGTCAGTTCGTTTCTTATTCCAGTTAATAATGCTTATTAGACTATATTAAAAACTAGATCCAGACTGTGATAATGCATTTCTTTATAAAGTATTTAAGCCAAATAACTAACTTCCCCCAGGGGGAAGGGAGAGATATGTTGAATTAGATTCATTTGGTGGACTTATTTATTAATCTTTTTTTTCTTCAACATTATTTTGTTTCATAGTTCATAATTTAGTTTTCATGCCACAAAAATGCCACTGTTCGGTATTACTTTGAACTCTGCTGTGATTTTTTAAAAAACCTATTATTACATTTGCCGTTTATTAGAGATCATTGTTCGTTATATTAGCAGCTCGGTTGTGCTTCATAACTACTTCGGGCTGACAAACTTTTGCTCTCACCAGTTTCCCTGAGGTCTAAGGATTTACAAGGATCCAGTTTTCCAATTGCAATGTTACAGCAAAAGAAAACAGGAGTGGGGGGGGTAGACTCTCACCGCCTGTGTTCTCTTCTGTAAATATTATACGTTTGCACTGAAGTGGAGCCACATTCTCCTCAAGGACGGCAGCTAAGCGGGGCAGGCGACAAGACTGGGCATTAACTGAGCTGGAGCTCCCGGTACCGTTGCACCTTTAAGGACCGGAGACTTGGCACAGGCCCGGCCTCCTTCCCGGCCCACCTCTGAACTCTGATTGACAGGGCGCCGGGCGAGGAGGAGCCGAAGGAGGCCGCGGAGGAGGCGCAGGGAGGCGAGCAGAGGGAGGAGGGCCCGTCTTCTCTCCGACGGCCAATCAGGACAGGGGGGCGGGGCCCGCGCGCCCTCCTCCCTCCTTCTACCCCCCCACCCCACCCCCCCGCCTCCCGGCTTCCCCGCCCCCTCCCCTCTCCTCCTTCTCGTCCTCCTCCTCCTTCTCGTCCTCCTCCTCCTCGCAGGCTGTGGTTTTTCTGTATGTGTTTCTGGAGTCCTGAGCCTGAGCTAAACAAAAGCAGGAGGCTGACGGGGCTGTCGGAGTTTGCAGAGACACGGAGGAGGAGAGAGCCTGTGCTCTGCCTGCCGCCGCGGCCGGGGGAGATCTGGCTTTTGCAACAGCCCACCCCCTTTGAGATCACTCTGGCCCGGAGTGGGGGTGGGGGGCAGCGGGGGGTGGGGGGGAAAGTTTGCATTGCAATCCCCCTGCCTTCCTCTCCTTTCTCCCGATCAATGCATATTTGCAAAAGGATTAAGCCACAGATTTAAGCGCCGGGAGCCCATTTCTGCCAGGCAAAGGAGACCGGACTGAAAAGCCAAAAGCCAGCTCTGATTTCTTTTCGTCAAGTGGGAAGGTGGTTTATTTTTCTTGCTTTTTGGAGTCAACACCCTTCCCCACCAGCCCTTATCCCCACCCTCACCCCGCAACCCCTTCACGCCCCCCTCCCCCTCCCCACTCCCCATCCTCCCACCAGCCTCTAAAAGAGGCAAAGGGATTTTTTTTTTTCTTTTGGTCTTCTTTTTTCCCCCTTCCCTGTTTATCCTGAAAAGGATCTGAAGCCAGCTTGAAGGATAAAAAGCCTTGGTGCTGCCCAGGAGCCGAGCCGAGCAGCAGAAGAGGAAGAGCCGGGGGCTGCCGTTGCCTTTGGAGATGGACGAGCAGCCCAGGCTGATGCATTCCCATGCTGGGGTCGGGATGGCCGGGCACCCCGGCCTGTCCCAGCACTTGCAGGATGGGGCCGGAGGGACCGAGGGGGAGGGCGGGAGGAAGCAGGACATTGGAGACATTTTACAGCAAATTATGACCATCACAGACCAGAGTTTGGATGAGGCGCAGGCCAGGTGAGATGGAGGCTTTTCTTTTCCTTTCTTGGGGTTTTTTGTTTTTCTCCCTCTCGCAGGGGGAAACAATGGGAACCGAAGCAGCACAGCTCTTTCTTTTTTAAAAATGTTATTCCTTTTCCCATTTTGACGAGCAACTACATGGCGGAGGAGTAAAATTGGAAGGAGCGTTGTTATCGAAAGTGTAATCGCCCATGCCGAGCTGTGGCTCTGTGTATGTGTGTGTGTGAGTGTGTAATGTATGTATGTGTGTGTGTGAATATAGAGATATTCATATATGTCCACACAAACACTCAGGCACGCCGAAAATACTGCCAACCGATCCAGAAGCGGCCCTCGGCACTTTTTACTGCTTTAAAAGTATCAGAGAGAGCAGAATTGTCAAGTTTTTGAACAGCATTCCATGCCTTCTTGTTGAGGGACTCAGTAACATTACAAAATAAAATGTCCCAATAACACTTTATTTGCAAATTTAGTGACTCCTCACCTAATTCAGGGACTTTTGCTTTTCTTTCTTGACGTACCCCTCTAAAATTAATTTTTATCTTTTCCCCTTTCTGCCCCCTTAAATAAAAAAGCAGATTAATTCTTTGTCAGTACTTGTCAGCTATCCAAAAGATATTTTGCATTCATTTGATTCTGTTTCAAAAAAAGCTAATGGAAAGAAGGAAAACGTAATTTTGCTTTGAGGCATATTTGCTAGTTTTGGGCGACACAGATATTCAGTTTAACTTTATTGTCTCTTAATTTGAGTCAGTTTACCAACCTTCCGTGGCACAGAATATATGGTCCTTTAAAAAGGGGCTGGGGGGGACAAAAATCAAGCATGCTCTTTTTCCCATGCTTCTTTCAGGACCAGTTAGAATGCAAATAAATAGAAATGAAGGCATGTGTGAATTTCATATATTTCAGTACTATAGGACAGGAAGATCTTTATTAAGGAAACATAATAAAGAAGCTGTTTAGCTTCTCAACTTAATTCACTGCCCAGTATACAGTTCTCCACTCTAGGATTTTACAGTAAATTCTCTTTCAGAATAAAATGTAGAGTTAGTGGCAGCCCACTAACAGCTTGCCCAAGGCCGACCTCGAAAGGAAGAATTTTAAAAATCTAATGACCACATATGTCTTTACAGTTAATTACCCTGCTTTGTTAAATCTCAGAAGTAGTTTTTTTTTTTTTAATATGTGCACAATTCCTATAACCCGAATGATTTAGTTATATGGAAAAGACATCATTATATGTATTTCTGTCCTATGGAAATAAGGAATTTGAGTTGAGAAAATGAGAAGCAGCTCAAAGCATGGGTGTTATGAATTACACCCTTATTTTAGCAGTAAGCACATGCAACATGTAAACTCAGAAGTACTGAGGTTTATGTGGGCTCTTAGAACTTAGAAATGTTCAAAGACTGGAACTATTCTTGATTTTCTTAAATGGGGGAAAGTTTTCAGAAATGAATCGGTGCTCTTTCTGAATTTTATTATCTGAAGAGAAGCTAGTAATTATCGTAAAGTGGAAGTTTTCCCACTGGCTATCTCTTTTAGAATTGGAACAGATTTCTCCATTGCATTGTTCCAGAAAAATAAACTCAGACAGACCAGTAAACTGGTTTAATAACAAGTTTGTGAAGTGGAAAGGGCCAGGAAGGCTGGAGATTTACCACTTTTCTCATGTTGAGTCGTATTCCTTTTTGTACAACTGAGGACAGACGTGGCTTGGCGGGTCCCCTCTTAAAGTGGCCTAGATGCTGAGAGAGATCAGACACAATTTTGGGAGAGGGAAATCTGTTCTCTCTCCATAACCCCACTGATGTGCTGTGGAAATGCAGTATTTCTGTGAAGCCGTGTGGGGCTTTTTGTTGTTGTTGCTTTTGTTTGTTTTTTCCATTTGGGCCTCTATGTAAGAATACAATTAATGAAAACTATTTTAAAAGCGTCCCAAAGGCGTCTTTGATACAGTGAGGTATTTTCCACCTTTTTTCCCACCCCACATGAGAACTCAATCACCACTAAGCTTTCTTTTTGGTTAAACAATGTAACTCTACTTAGCAAATACTGGATCTGTTTTTCCTTTCCTTAGCCATACCTTTCTCTTGTACACTTATTATTTACAAAGTAAACCATTGATGTTTTAGACACAATGCATGTGTTTATTTTGATACTCTTGAATTTTTGAGTTTATTGCTCCTTTGCTGTACAGTATGTAGACCAGACTTCTGGTTACTGTTCTTCATGAGGATGTGTCTATTTTTTTTTTTTTTAACTTTCACAAGAATTAAAGGATTGCATGTGTCTGGAGTGCCAGGGGTTTCCATTTGTCTTTGCACATTAATTTCAGTTTGTAAACAGAATTCCCTTCACTGATGGCTGATATGATCAGGATTTTGTTTCCAAAACAGTATCCTTCTGCTAAGTGCTTCCATAGTAAAATCAAGGGAAAGGTATTGTTTGGTTCCTCAAGTACATTCTGAATACAAACACACACCAAGAACCAGGTAAATCACCAATCCAAAAGGCAGAATTGTATTTATTTTTTCCCCAATGGGTGCAAGGTCCTAATTGTAAATAATTGAATTTCAACACCTGCAAATAAGCAGTGTGCACACAAGAGGCATAATGTGAACACAGAGAAATGAATTTATTCCCCATATGGGTATGTTTGCCCCCTGGCAATACATTTCCATACTCTTTAACTTGGGGACTGAAATTTTATAAATTGACAGTTCTACTCAGAAGACCTTTCAAGCATCTTGTGTTTATGAGAATACAGGGGCATCTGCGGAATGAATTCGAACACATGGATGAATTAAATTTGAAAACACACACACAGACCGAGAGGCAGACAGCTCCTAGGCTTTGGTGGATGCATAGATTATAGAAACTGTTATCCCATGCTTTTGGCTTTGCCGTATTCATTGCCCTGGGTAGGATTATTGGTTTAAGAATTCCATTTTGATTGAACTACTTATAAAAAAAAACACCTAACTCCGCCTAAATGGGCATAATTTAGGTTAGTTCTGTTCTGTAGTTAAATCCCTACTCTATCCCTGCTAATTAACATTATTTCTTTTTCTATGGCGGGACTCTATATTAAGTCATAAAACAATTGAAGCATGCCACAGAGTTATGCTTGGGATATAATTTTGGCTAAATGTTCAGATTTTTTTCCCCCTGTGCTTTATCAGCAGTTTGATCTCGAAAGTCCACCTAAGCTATTATGTTGTTGTTTCTTTCTTGCAGAAAACATGCTTTAAACTGCCACAGAATGAAGCCTGCCTTGTTTAATGTGTTGTGTGAAATCAAAGAAAAAACAGGTAGGACTGAGATTCCAACATTTAAGCATTTTCTTTGGCCAATTGACTCACTTAACCAGCAATGACAAACCCATTATTTAAATATTAAAATTTCAGCATAAAAGTGCTGTCAAGATTGATCGCAGTTTCCAATAGGAAGCCCTAGTAGCTCTGCTTCCTGGAAAAAGCACCAAGTTTCTTTGACAGTTATTATCAAGCATTACTGGTTTATTTTCCTTGTCTCTGTTACCAGCCTCTTTGAAATTGGGGCCCAAAGAGAGGTTCTGAAGGGAAATTTATAGAATGATGTGTGCATTTGGGGGAAAAATATGAAAGTAAAAGTCTGTTTCCAGGAGGAAAATCTTTTTGGCCCATATTGAAAACCCTTGTTTTTTTTGGAGTTGGGCATGGGGGCTAAACTGTTTAAAGTTTCCTTTCCTTTTTTTCTTGTGATTGTACCAAGCAGCAGGCTAAAGGTTCTCAGCGGTGTTGTCAAATACCTTTGTGGAAAGCGCCATACAATGTCAGGTTACCGGTATCTGAGTGCCCTGTCATTTTATAGCAGGGGGAAGCGATGGGTTGAGGGAGAATATCATGCCATGAGATCCCTCATTCTGTTGTTTTTTTTTTCTACTTTCTAGACCTCATATCATAGACTCACACACTTACAACACATCCCAGGAGGGCATTTAAATTTTAAAGCAACAATTAAAAAATAGCAATCATCAATCAGAGGTGTTCTTAAACAACAGATGCTCTGGGAAGGACATTTAGCCACATCCTCGTGTTTGTTTGTGTTAAGCCTTAATTTTCCAAAGTGGGTGCATCTCTCCCTTGTAAAAAGAAAGAGTTGAAAAGGCAATCTGAAACTAGGGCATAAAGATGAGGAACGAGGGGTGGTTATATAAAGCGGGAGCTCCTGCTGGCCTCTGACTTGATCGCTCGCTTTAGAGCAGTGCAAAGTACCTGCCATCCTATTTATTTATTTATTTTTTACAACAAGGAGTGTAACAGTCAATAATTCATATCTAAACCATATAAGCAAGGGCATGACATGAATGAAAGTGACAATAAATATGATTGCATGCCCGGTTGATATACATTGATAGTTACACATAAAAAAAGGGGGGGGGGAGGGCACACAGGGTGGCTTTCTTTTTGAAAGCTCTCTGTGTTTGTCTTTTTAAAAATAAATAGTTTCAAGATGTGGCCACTGATGGAATGTGTAATTACTTGAGTCGTGAAATCTATGTGAAATTAGTCAGCAGCTCCTTTGTTGAATGTTATTTGTGTTGTGCATAACATTCTAGACAAAGCACCTGAGCAGTGATGTTCAGACCTTCCAGACTTCCAGGTTGCCTTGCCAGAGCCTAACCTTACTGCAAAGCTGTTAATCACATTATTTTAGCTGTGAAACACCTTTTAAGAGATTTATGAATGGTGCATACAAATATCAAAGAGCTTTTCCAGTTTGTCACACTTTTTAGTTTGTTTGTTTTTTTTTCTATTAGCCAGAGCAGGAAGCCTAAGTGCATGTCTATTTGTTTCTTTTCTCCTTTTTTTCTTCCTTCTCATTTTCTTTTGATCTCTGATGCTTATTTACTTTGAATATTTGGTTTGTTGAAATTTGTCTCTAATCGAGTATGCTTTCCTGCCTATCTTGATTCATGAAATGTAGAAATCAAGACGTAAAGGCATATTTGATAATCCAGGCTAAGGCGACTCTATTTTTGAAGACATTTTATTAGATTTTTATTGAAAAGGAAGCCCATCAGGGCACCTGAATGTATATTGTGGCCGAAGTGTTTAATTCTGGTCTTCTAATTAAAACCTACTAAGGCAGTAGATCAAAGTGGGTGGGTGTGAATAGAGATCCGGTTCCGGTGTTAAAGAGTTTCTTCCTTCTTCATATTGGCTAAACTACGGTGATAGGAAGCAGTGGCATTGGTCAAAATCATACTTGAAAGGTGTAATTTATCATTGGCTTGTGTATTTTGCTTCTTAAAAATTTTCTGTCACTTAGTGAATTAATATCTGGAGATTTAAAAAAAAAATCTAAGTTAAGGTTCTGTGTGCTGTCTTTAGGATCCTAGATTTAAAACATAGTCGATCAAGTCCTGGAAATTGAAAACGGCAAGGATCCCTGCTCCTCTGTTAAGGGGGAAATCTGCATGTGTGCGCGCGCGCGTGCACGCACACACACACACACACACACACACACACTCGGTTTTGGGTTGAGAGGGCACCCATGGGTGAAAGTTAAAAAAAAAAAAAAAGAAAAAAAGGGCCTTCCTCCTTGTTCTTCTTCCACTTGTACGTTAGAAGGAGTGAGGGAAAGGAAGAAATGTCTCCTGGAATGTTGAGTGTTCTGTGCTAAAGGTAGGGGACCCATGACTGGTGTGTGGAGGAGAAGCCTTTGATTCTAAAGCACGATTACTCCGTTCCTCAGGATTTGCCCAACTCCCCGTCCCTGTGCCAGCATATCTTCCTTGCGGTCGATGTGTTGGAGACACATACAGTGTAAAGTTGCAGGAGGCTTTTTTCCCCCCTGGTCTTGCTACAGAGCTGGTAACCAGATCTGTTGGATGGTCAGTTTCTAGGCATTACTTCATTGTCATGGGACTTTTCCTATTGTTACTTCCAAGCCCCCTTGCTTTAAATGAGTATTTCCACGCTTCCATCTCCAGCACTGTAGAGCTTACTTGATGTAGGGTGGGCTTGTTTGCTGGTTTGCATTCTCACGCGAAGTTGACACACTGGGCTCACCTAGGTCTTTATGTCAGGAAGACGGGACTCTGAGAGGAGCATGGCAATGGCCTTCATTTGCTGCCTTTAGTTTTTTTGTTTTTGTTAATGGTTTCAGTTGGAAAACTCAGAAATAAGTAGGGATGCTAGCAAAGACTGTCCTACCAACCTTTTGGAACTTGAAAGAAACGCATGCGCACAACACCCAAAGTAGGCAGCAGCTTCTAAATTACAGTTGATTGATAGGTATTTAAGTCAGAAATTACCGTGAGGATATTAAAAAAAAAAAACAAAACACCATGTATCTTCTTGCCTCAGAGTGTGGGTGAGTTTTTATTTTGATACCCTTTTGCTTTTTTAAAATAAATGCTAGGAAAAAAGAATGCCTGCAAAATGCTCGTGCCGCAAATCTCAGACAACAGCAAGGAAAAGCTTGTCCAGACCCACAACAATGTGTGTTTCAGAAGAGGCTTTTCATCTGCTTTCTCCTTCTGGGAACGGAGGGATTTAGTATAGAGTTTGGGACCGCTCAGTATCTTATTTTCTCTTGTTTTTTTTTTTTTTTTTTAGGAACCATTACTTGTCTTCTGACAAATTAGCGATAGGCTGAGTGTTACATATGTGGTGGTAGTGGGGTTGATGGGATGGAAGAGAAGGAGACAAAAAAAGGCAAACACACTGCGTTTCTTAAAAAAGACCTTGCTTATATTTCCCAGTGTTTCTTTTTTTTTCTACTTTTGTGTCAAAAATCATGCAGGTTTAAAAATGAGGAAAACACACAAAAAATATTGGGTGCCATTTACCAAGGAGAATATTTATAGATAGCAATGAATAGCTGTAATTGTTGTGAATAGTTTTTAATTTTAGAACATGATAGCTATCTATGGCATTTTCAGCCGATTTTCCTCTGTGAATTATCTGCACTGAAGTTAAATCAAATCACCGAAGGAGGTTAAAAAATTGTTTTTTTTTTTTTTTTTTTGCTTCCTTAACACTCTTTTGTTCTCTCTCTTTTCTTTTTTCTCTGTGTTCAATTAACACACCCATCATAGAACTGTGGGTTTTTTTTTTTTTTAGTCTACTACTGTATTTCACTTTTGACACCTAATCTTATTATTCTTGCCTGCTACTTCTTTGTAATGCAGCAATTATATTATGGGACTGGTACTCCTCTCTTTTTTACAACGTTAGAGAACAATTTGTGTGTGTGTTTGTGTAAGTAGGAGAGGGGCACTGCTGTATACAGCAGGGGAATAATTCTGATGGTATGAGGCCTTGAGCTGAGCAGGAGTGAAATAACTTTAGACAATTTAGGGTTGCCTCTGCTCAGATTCCTTTTGGGTCGAAGTGGCAAGAGTGACTTCACAGAAGTTCATCCATGGCAGGCAAATGCAAAAACTTTTTCTTGCTGACCAGTGAATTCAAGTGTTAGATCTTTTTTTCTCTCTCTCTTTCGTTGTGTGTGTGTGTGTGTGTGTGTGTTTGTGTGTGTGTGTAAGGGGGGAGTGAGGGAAGGGAAGTTGCAACCCAGCTTTGCTTGAACACTACCATTCAAGGCACAGCAGTGAGCTGGGCAGAAATCATGTGACTGGACAATATATGCTTTATCACGATCCGAATGTAAGCTATAGACGCGCAACACTAGGACTGATGAGAAGTATCTCTTCTGTCTGGTCACTTCTGTGTGATCCACTTTTAGGAGTGGATTAGACAAATTCTGGTGGGGAGGAGGGTGCAAAGCACATTGGGGGCGTAACCTAACAGAACAAGAGTATTGGAAGTTTGGTGTCACTTCTTCTAACAATCAGGGTGCCTTCTAACAATCTTCTAACAATCAGTGACTTCCCGGGGAGGATTGGGGAGGAGGGAGATTGAAGTTCAACTGAGGGAATGGGGAGAGGGTTTATGAGAGGGACGCACAGAGAGACTTGGGACCCAGGGACAGTGAGTGTTGGGAGCTGGGGGCCTTGAGGCTGGGCGTTCGCAGTTGGGCCTGACCTGCCTGTGCAATTCAGCTCTCTGCTGGTGCCACGCTTGCCATGTGCTTTTGCGTTCTACTGACATCCACGAACTTGGGGTTGTGTGGTGGGCAAAATTACAGAAATGCCCCTAAACAAGCAAACAAACCCAGACTTAAGTACTGCACATATTTAAATAGGAAAGCATTTTCATTTTAATTTACAGCATAACCCCAGCTTCTTTGGAGACATAATTAACATTCATGCCTTAGGAAAACGTAGCCTTAATTTTGGTTTTAAACCTCTTTTGGATGGTGG